AGACCGGCTTCAGACCCTCCTTCTGCAATTCTGCCACTGCTGCCTGGCCATGCCCGGCTTCCCGGGCTGTCAGGTACACATCCCCAGAGAACTGCTTACACAGAGCTCGCACAATAGCAAGCCCGATCCCTTTGTTGCCCCCAGTCACCACGGCCACAGGAGTGTTCGACATTTTTCTTTTCTATCAGATGAAACTCACTGCAAAGAAAAAACGGCAGCTTTGTACGAGGATAAAAATAGATGTCTTCAAAAATTAAAATATATGTTTTAAATAGTTACTTATGAATAAACTCACTTAAAATTAAATGTGAAATTGAGTCCATTTATTAAAACCAGAATTAAAACTAAGATTCAAATAGCACATACTTGTTAACCAGTGGCAATGACTGGCTAAATGCCTGGAACCAGAATTTGCTGAAGAGCTAACATAACTTTTGACAGTAGTAGGCTCTTTTGTAGGTTCAGAGAGAATATTTTTTTTCATTTCAGCTAGTTCAGTTTCATAACTAGCTCATTCATAGTTAAAAAACTGACTGGGAGTTGAAAGAGCAGGAAGGCTTGATTTCCTCCTCCAATCTATGAAAAAAACGAGGTGTGGGAAGACTAGATCTACTGTTTCGAAAACAATCACATCAGTTCCTCAACTGCAGATAAAGTATGACTAAGGACAAATGAACAACTTACAACAAGTTAAAAGGGAATGAAGGCTTACTGAAAAGTACATGACACGTGACTGTTCATGTGCCTGCTCTTACCACACAACCAATGGTAAAGGGAAAAGCTAAAACTGGGATAGTTTAGTTCTCCACGAAGCTGGATTCAAGTACTGTGATATAATTTTCACTTGTTCTAGAAACATCACCAAATGAAGCGGATCAGTTCTGCTCGGATGCCTCTGCACAACTGGTCTCCTTTTTCAGGGGAAATGCACCTCGCCCACTGATGCTGTGGGACAATGGGTGACGTGTTCCCTTGAGGCTTGAAGGGCCTAGTACTGCATGCCCAAGGAATTTCTGTGCAGAAATATGCCCCTCAGGCCCTGGGAATGCCTGCCTGGCTTTCCACACATGTCTCTGCACATGCGGAAACCCTGATGACTTTTACTTAGAGAGACACATCCCAGAGATCTGGGGGCAGTCTCAATAAGCAGGGAAACCCTGAGTTTCTTGCATATGGAAGAGCAGTCCTGAGATTGCTCTGGACTTGTTTCTGCAAAAGGAGAAAACTGGGCAGGCATTCCCAGGGCTTGAAGGGCCCAATCCTGCACAAGATGCCCAGGGCGCACAGGATTGGGCCTCTCAGGCCCATGGACCACCTGCCTGGGGCAGCCAGACCACATGGGCAGCTCCAGTCTGCTGGCCCGCTTGTGCCATAAAGCAGACATCCACTACTAAACAATGGCACAAATTGATATGTTTGTAGTGCACCAAGGGGAACAGATGCCTGTTTGCTTGGCCTTTGTGCTGCCATAAACATTTTTATGATGGCACAAAGATGACCTCTGTTTCCACCCTTACTGTGAGGTAAACAATTTCTCCCCTTGCAGGGGCTCCACAGTAAGCCCCACACCCTGTTAACTTAGGGTGCAGGCAGAAGTGCAGCTCCTAGCTGCAACTCAGAATGATTTCTGCAAAGTGTTCTGAGTTACAACCTTACCCCGGACCAAACAGAAGTTCATTGCTGTTTCCAGATGGAGGGGAATCTAGTTTGTGCCTGAAAGCTTGCAAGGAACAAATTTATCCAAGTATTTAGCTGATCTAATAACAGGGATAGCATCTATCCAAAGAACCTCGCCTGCCTGTTGCAAATGAAGGCAGACAAGGTTCTTTGGGTAGAGGTGGTATCTTTTATTAGATCAACTAAATCATTGGGAAAATGGTTCTTTGCAAGCTTTCGGGCACAAACACCCTTCTACAGGGTTTTTGCAACAAGTTTCATTTTTCAGGTTTTGCAACAAGCCTTGACCCCAGTCTGGGATTTGTTGCTAACATGGAGGATGCGCTGATATAAGCAATTAGGGAAAAATTACTAGGCATGTACCGGCAAGTTGACATTTATGTTTCCAGTAGAAAATTGTGCCACAGAATGCCTCAGTTGCTAGAGAAGTTGGAGGACATTGTGTCCTCCTGATTGGTACCTGTAGCTGTGGTTAGATAAAAAAAGACCCTTCTTCAGGCAGAGGGAAAGAACCATTTTTTCAACGATTTAAATGCTGGTCCAATACAAGATAGCACATCTACCCAAAGAACTGTCTGCCTATATCCTTACGCCAACACAGCTACAACCCAGAGCCCTGCTGCAAATGAACGCATTTTAGTAGCTAGGGGTGTAGGTTGTAGCTGTGGTGGTCTAAGGACATCCACAGACAAGGTTCCTTGGATGAATCTGATATCTTTTATTAGACCAAGTCAAACAGTTGGATGAAAATTTTTTCTTAGCAAGCTTTTGGGATTAAAAACCCTTTGTCAGGCTCTGGAGGTGGTGTGTGCTCTTCCTGGAGAGAGCGAATAGTAAAGAAGCCAGAGGTAGTAGTTTTTAGTAGCTAGCCAACTCCTCGGACTTCGGGGAAAGAAAGCCCAATAAGTAATTAAACACAAAGCCCGATCCTCGTGGAGGATCCAATCCCAGGTTTTCCCTGCGAGCTGCCTGCAACTAGGACTGAACCGAGAAAGAGCGGCCCTGGGGAGAAGCTCTGGCTGGTCAGGGGGCCAAGAAGGCCGCCTGAATTAGGGAGGCCACCGGCTCGCTGCTAAGGGGCAACACAGGCAGCCCCAATGGTTCAACCCCTGCCCCCCTCCCCAGCAGGGCAAGCAGCGGAGAGCTCAACCCCCGCCCGGAGGGGAGGGGAGGGGAGGAGCCGCGCGGCTGCAGCAGGGCCGGCCCGAGCCGAGCCGGGCCGGGCGGTGAGTTCGGCGCCAAGCGGGAGCGGGCCCACCTCGGGAAGGGAAAGGTAGTTGCTCCATGTGCAGCTGGTCCTGGCTCTCCTGCCTCCCCCCCGGGTGTCCCCAAGCAGCCTTTTGCCCCCAGTCACGGGACAAACCCGAGAGGTTCCCAACGGGGAGCCAAGCCCCTGGGGCCTGTGCAGCGGAACCTTTTTTTGGAGCCAGGAAATGAGCTGGGCTTTCTCCAGGGGCAGCTGGAGGTGGAGGAGGGGGCCTCTAGGCCCGTGGGTCTCAACCTTTTCTGTTCCAGGACCGGGATTGACTTCGGGGGGTGTTAAAGTCTATGCTTCAGGAATGTGAAACACTTAGTTTTTTTGTTTTATATAGATTTATATACATGTATACATGCATACATTTTATACACACACACACACACACACACACACACACAATGCATGTGTGTGTGTCTGTGTGTGTGTGTGTATCAGGGGTGGGCAAAATGTGGGTTGGATGTGGCCCGCCAGGCCATTCTAACCGGCCCGTGGGACCCTAAAAAATTTGGAAAATAAATATTAATCTGCCCCTGGCTGCCTGTCCTGTGGCCCTCAATGGCTTGCCAAAACTCAGTAAGCGGCCCTCTGCCCAATAATTGCCTCCCCCTGACACACACACACACACACACACACACTCTGTGTGTGTGTGTGTGTATGTGTCTACATGTACATAAATATATATATATATATGTACACACATACATATGCATATGTACACACACACACATATAAGCTAAGTTTTTCTCAAAATGTAGACTTTAAATCATCGATTGTAAGGGTCCAGCCCCCTGCACCAAGCAGGAAAGATATCTGGGCGTCAGGTGACCCCAGCAAGGAGACGGTCCAGTCTCCTCTTGAAGATTTCCAGGGTAGGTGATTGCACCGCATCTGGAGGGAGCTTATTCCACAGTCTGGACACCGTGACCGTGAAGTTTTTCCTAATGTTGAGCTTGAATTGGTTTTCCAGGAGTTTGTGACCAGTACTCCTGGTTGTCCCCAAGGGTGCCCTGGTGAACACTTATTCACCAAGCCCTTGATGTCCTCCCCTAGTGTAGCGGTAAGCTGCTACCAAGTCCCCTCTCAGCCTTCTTTTTTCAAGCTGAAGAGTCCCAGGTCCCTCAGCCTTTCCTCGTATGGCTTGCTGTGCCAGTCTCTGATCCTACAAGTGGCCCTTCTCTGGACTCTCTCAAGCTTTACCACATCCTTGTTAAAGTGTGGCTCTGAGAACTGGACACGGTACACAGCTGTGGTCTCACCAATGCTGAGTAGCGTGGAAGAATGACTTCTTTGGTTTTGTGGAGATGCATCGGTTGATGCATACCAGGGTATTCTTAGCTCTGCTGGCTACAGCACCACACTGTGGTTCATGTTCATACTGTGGTATATTATTACCCCCAGGTTCCTTTCATTTGTAGTGCTGGTCAGGTTGGCATTGCCACGCCTGTAGCTGTGCAGGGGATTGTTTGTCCCCTTTAAGAACAATACTAAAAATCACGAGAGTTGGCAATACTGCAGGACCCATTTGTAAACGTCAATGGCCAGTGCTGAGCCAGTGCCCCTCACTCCCAATCCCCTGACCCCAGGCTCCAGTCCCCCCCAGTGTGTGGGACAGTGAGGAGGGAGGGGGGCAAGCAGCCCCTCTCACACTGGAGCTCTGCCAGCCTGCAAGGGAAAAGCCACCGTTTCCCATGTTTTTCTCTGTTAAAGGAGAATCTGTTTTTAAAGTTTCATATATTCTAGCAACCTACTTTTGGGTCATGGCCCACAGGCCTCAGAGAAATGCTGCTGTCATGGGCAGCACTCACTCAGTCCTCCAGAAAATGCTTTGCAAAAGCAAGGACTGTCAGCAGCCCCAAGTGCTGAGCAGGGTTTCACTGTTGTTACTCAGCTCAGATGTATTGGATGTGCCGAAAAAAGCTTGGGGGACTGGGCCCAACACAGGAAACTATAAGCCTCCTGCCACTGAGGACACATCAGCTAAATGTGTGGAACAACAAAAAAGAAAATTGGAACGGGCGTGAGGTCATGGCTTAATAGCTAGGGCATCAGAAGTGGCCGCGTGTTACTCAGCTTAGGATGCTGTCAGAAGACTGAGCACACTGTGACCTGGTACATGTTACATACATTACACACTTGAGTGTGTAATGTATGTAACATGCTAAATTCTGTAATGTATTTTAACTACATGATAAATTCTGGGTGGCCTCATGGGCAGAATAATTATTGCACCAGAAAAATAAAATGACTGTCGAGCCATAAAAAAGAGTCAACTAGCAACCAAGTTAGTGCTTGAATGCGTGCAACAACTCAAGAGCTAGTTTGTATCCAGCTTTAATTTGAATGTGTAGCAGGGTCCTTAGAGATGGAGCCATATAGAGATAGAGGGCCAGAGAGCAGAAACAGAAAGGAAAACCTTATGCAGAGCTCTGAACCGTCAGGGGAGCCTCTGAGCTCAGAGGACTGCATTTGTTACCCTTAACATCCTTTTACCTCAAAGAGGTTTGCTCCTTTTAGTCAAAAATGAACACACATACCTGGTAAAGTCCATGGGACAGGTGATCTGCCTGCATCCAGGAACATTCTGTAATGGTGCTTTTTTGACTGCGCATTTGGAGAACGCTAAACTATTTTGTTTGTTCAGTTTTTTCTTTTAAATCTGTATTATATTTTTATTAATTTGTATATATGCACATGCACATTCACCCACCCTCTCTGTTTATATGTATGCAAGTATATACACGTACACACACACACACACACACACACACACGATGCACTTATCAAATCTGTCATCATGATCCTCACCAGTGATATAGTTCAAATGGTCAAACATTAATCAAGTATGTTAAAGGTGTCTGTGTAAATGATGTGCAGGCTGCCTTGGTTACAGTTTAGGTGTTAGTGGAAGGTGGATAATGAATTTCCACAGGTCAATATTGTCATTAATAGACTATTGGAATATTATCTGTAATCTAATGGCATTAATAAATGTACTTTATACATTAAATATATGTTAATTTATAATAGTGTGTGTGTGTGTGTATACATAATGTTCTGATAGTTTATTGAGGAACATGATGAGAGATTTGATAAGCATGTCATGTGGATCAGAATTGAAGTGGTAGTTGAAGTTTTTATGCCAATGTTATTCACTAAATAAAATAATTGTAATGGTAATGAAATATTTGTAAACATATGTATCATTTTCATTAATGCCTTTTTTTAACAGTAAACCTTTTTGGTATGGATTTTATATGAGATCTAATAATTTGCCGTATAACCTTAGCTGTAGGATAATGGATGTTTCTGAGTGGAAACTGCCTTAATTTTAAATATAGAAATGCCAGTCTTCCCCAAAGGAAACTGTCCCAAGTTCTTGGTGCAAGCAGTGTTGAGGATGACTCCTTTCTCCCTTTTCCTCCTCTAGCAAGGGATAGCTTGTGATAAATTCTCTAAGCTGAAAAATGCAAATGTGTTCACAATGCAGAGCTTTACTTCTTTTGCTTATCTTTAATTAAAAAAAAGAATATTGTATACAGAGGAGCCAAAAGAAATACTAAAATTAAAGAATCCAACTTTTCTTTTTCTTGTTCAGGTTGTGTGCATAAGCAACATATATTACCTACAGATCTGATATTTAACATGCAGAAAAGTAGAGGTCGGACAGGTAGAAAGAGAAGAAGAAAACATTTTAAAGATTTGCCTTCAGATGGAGGTACTGTACATCTTAATCTTAATGCTTGCTCACTTTTATGGAAACAGCTACACTAATTAGCTAAAGATCTTTTTGCAGTACATATCTGCTAAATTCCCTACATACTTAAAGACAGTGATTGCATATGCTAGCCGTCACATACAAAAGAACATTTATTTTCTGTCTGCTGGGGGTGGGCACTATGGATTCTGTTTCTGGTTGATGCAGGCCACTGTAATTCCTCTTAAATTCTTTGAGTCCAGACCCGGCTCATGGTCTACATCTGGCTTGTGTTGCTGTGTCATGTAGCCTACAGGGCTCCCCGCAGGTCCAGTAATTTGATGATGGCATTGCACCCCTTCTGCCACATTTCCAGATCCATAGAAAGCCCCAGGCCCAGCATGTCAGATGGGGTATTGGTTCCCAGCACACAGGATTAGATGCAGGTGGTGCTGGACCCCAGAACCCGAATCCCAGTGCGCAGGACATGGGAAGGGTGCTGGGCGCCTGGGACTCATTCCTGGAGCTCAGGGGCAGTGTCAGACCTCGGGATCCATACCTTGGGGGGGTCAGAGGGGGTGGTGCTGGGCCCCCAGGACGCAATCCCAGTTCATGGGGGACAGAAGGAGGTAGTTCTAGGCCACAGGGCCTGATCTGGCCTGCAGACTGTCCATGTACCACACTTCAGGCCCACAGAGCCAGAAGGTTGAGCACTACTGCTTTGAGTCTGATCCTGCAAAGCCCTGGGTAGTTGTTCTGAGTACCTTCAATTTCCAATTAAATAAATAGCCACAGGGGTTGTTCAGAATCTAGCGAAGGCAGGCCCATCCAAACTAAACAGCCCATTGGGCTGGCGGACATGAGGCACACCAGTTCTTAGCCAGCAGCACACCATTGAATGATGTGGCCAGCTGCCTTTGACTCCCCAGTCTGAATAACTAGGTAACATTGACAGCTGGGCCTGCTGCGATGCAGTATTTGGTTTGAGCCTGGTGCAGGTCTTGCACTCATGCCTTCAGAGCCATAGCAAGATGCCTTAACTGCTCTGCTACCACATCCTGAACCTAGCAGACTGAAGGCTTTCTCACTGTCTTACTTTGGGCCTTATTGTATGTTATTAAAAAATACCCATCTTCTCCGTGTAGCATCAAACTGTTCTACAGTAAGAGCACCATGATTTTAATTAAAATGGGTCTGTAAAATAATCACTCTCTCTTCTTAATTTAGTAAATTATAGTCACAAACTGGAATATATACAGCTTAAGAAATGGCTGAAAGAAAGGGGATTTGAAGACAATCATTTAAAGCCAGCACAATTTTCAGGTAATGCTTTAGTTTTAATGAATTACAGGTAGTATTTACATGTTACCCAGATTACAAGTAACTTTGTAGGTTGGCTTCTGATAAAAGAGGCAGAAACAGGTATACAGTCCAGCCTTTTATTTGCTTGCACTTCAAAATACAAAAACAAACATTTATCCCAAAGTGTATCTGGCTACTTGAGATAGCACAACATAGGTTCTCACCTATAGCAGCTGGGGAGACTCGAGAGTGGGAGGAGGGTGGCACACATTGGCAGCAAGTCTTCCAGAATTTGCTGAGATCTCCAAAATTTCTTCTAGCCTATACCCCATATTTATAAATGGCTGGCTCTTATATTGTAATAAATAACCTCTGATTGGTTTTATTTAAATTTCTTTGTGTTACTGAACCTTTTGAGACTGGACTGATCTGGATCTCTTGTTGACTTGGCAGATGTCAGTTAGCTGGGATTTATATCTTTGGGAAAATAAAAGGGAGGGTTTCTTATCTCCTTTTCTTCCCCATTGTGGAATGCTGTTCAACATTGCTTTTTCCCTATCTTAGTTTATAGTCTTCTTACGCAAGGCTGTTTTGTTTTTACAAATTATCTCAGCATCTTAACAAAAATATATCTATTATAGCAAAATAGCATCTAATACATTTGGTTACATCTGTCACAACCCAGTGATTTTTTGTGCCTCGGCACTATGGAATTTCCTGGCCACATGAGAGCTCCTTTGCACGGCAGAGTGTTCTGCTGCAATTAAGAGCCTGTGTGCAGGAGAGTTCCCGCCAATTTGCAGTTTCCTTTGCAGGATGCATTTCTTCTTTGCAGCACAGAAATGCACGGTGCAAAGAGTTCCCGCTATTCAGATGCAAATTTGTGCCCCGCTATTGGCCAGTGCTAAATTATTCACACGTGGCGGCTAGTAATTGGCTCGCTGGCTGTTTAAAATTCTGCGCGACTTCCGCCCAAGTCGAAGAGCTTTGAGCACGCTGCAGAGTGCCTCTGAAGTTATCTGACTTGCGGCTGCCGATCGATAGACTGATCACCTATCGATCTTTCTTCCCGTCACCGAGCGCAACCCCAACGTACCCCGTTCCCCGCCGGCTTCGAATTGCGGACGGAATAACTGGCTTGGGCCCCGCCAGCTGGAGCAACTCATGTGGTTGTTCCGACGACCGGACCACCTGCGTCGTGATTGCAAGCGGCGTGAGTAAAGTTTTTTGCAACCAATAAGTTGTGTCTGCCTCTCCATTCACCAGCCCGCCCTGACGTACGAGCGTAACTCGAGTCGGCCCTGGCCGTCCGAGACA